GAACTGAGCAGAGAGCCCTTGGTTTGTGCTGCTCAATACCCAGCAGGCACCAAGACCTGAAAATTCCCCAACTCACTATTTCTCCCTTCCTTCAGCCAGTCCCTGTGTTGAGAGGTTTTGGGTCCACGCTCAACAACTCTTCCACACACACACACATACCTGCATGTAGTGAGCTGTCACTGCTCCAGTCACACCCCGAAATAGTAACGGGCTCTCTTATTCAGGCAGCACCGAGATGGCTGTTCTCTCAAAGGAGTATGGCTACGTCATCCTGACAGGAGCTGCCAGCTTCATCTTGGTCACGCACCTCGCTGTGAAAGTGGCCAAGGCCCGCAAGAAGTACAACGTGGAGGTGAGTGCTCAGGCTGAGGGAATGGGAGGGTCGGAGCCGGTCTGCAGGGGATGTCGCAGACAAGCTAGGTGACACCTTGGTTATTTCTGGGTGACCTGCTGACACTTCCTGCCTCACCACACGGGTGCAGAAGGGATGGAGCTGCTATTCTGGCTCTCCAGACTGGAGCAGATGGCACGGCAGAGCTTGGGGTTTGGCAGATTGGGCGCTTGGCACTGAGCCGAGCTGAAAGCACAAGGCTTTGAGCTCCGAAACACTGATGAGCAAGAAATGGCACAGCCCTTTCTCCTGCAAAGAAAGCCATTGCAGCGCTGGGGGCAAAGGATTTGCCATGGCCCAAAGGGACAGGAGGGTTTCTCAAGCTCAGAGGAGCACGTGAGCCCTCTCACAAGAGGTATTTCAGAGTGACCTTCCCTGGTATCCACTGAGGAGCCCTCGAGCCAGGCAGGGCTGTGGGCTGGGTGGGGACTGTTGGTCCTGTCTGTGAGTCAGGACAATGGCACGTAGAGGCTGCTGTGCCACTTGGCTTCAAGCACAAATGCTCCCTCCTTGTTTCCCCGGGTCACTCGGGGAAGTGACAAGCAGGGATGGGCACAAGGACAGCCCCAGGCGTCTGCTGCAAGCCCCTGGGTGCCTGTTGGGGTGACCCCACTCCTCCTGCACCAAGCCAGGGTTATAACAAACCTGCCCAGTGCGTGCAGTGCTCAGAGCACTGGATTTGGGGCTGGGAGAACCCTCTGCAGCCAAGTGGCAGCTCCAGCTGGCAGTGTGGCTGAGCAGGGGTGAGGAAAGCAGCATCCTCCCAGCCTGTTCCTGGGTGATGGGCTGCTGCCAGCTCCCCAGAGGAGACCCGAGGGCACATCTTCAGTTAACACTGCTTTGATCTGCCCCCAAAGGGATGAGATTTAAACAGGGAGGTCACCCAGTACCTGGCTATCTTCTCTTTGAAGCAGGACTGCCTCCATGGTAGTCAGGTTGCTCAGGAGGTGGCCTGAGGCAAGCAGCAAATTTCAGCAACACAATTGTAGGCCATGGGGCAGGAGACAGGCTCCAACATGCCAACGCAAGTCAGTTTTGCAAGCACCCAGGCAGCTCTGGGCTCCCTGGGGAGAGGGAACGTGCGTTCCTCGCTGCTGGAGAACACCAGGCTCCCAAACCCAGCCTGTGCTTGCTCACATTTTGCTGCTGGTTTATTTTTTTTTTGGCAGTATCCAACCATGTACAGCACAGACCCTGAATTTGGGCGTATATTCAACTGCATCCAGCGTGCACACCAGAACACGTGAGTACCACGTATGAATGCAGACCCTGAAAATACATAATGAGGGATTGCAGCTGGAGACTCGCTGCTGCCACGTGCTTGGGTTCAAGCTCAACACTTGAGGAAGACACACACAGCCACATAATGCTTAGTAGTAAGGCTGTGCTGTCTCTGTACCGTGCCTTAAACCATGAGATGGGGCTGTGAAGCAGCCTTCTCTTCCCCAGTGCCTGGCTTTTTGTCTCTATGGGTAGATCTTAAGACACTGGAAGTCTTTTTTCCAGAAGAGCCTGTCTAGGGGCTGCTGATCTGTTGTACTTCTCAGATGTCCCCTGGGGAGAAGCTAATGTGGCCCAGGCTGCAACAGCACATCAGAGGGGTGCTGGGAAGAACAACTCCTCCTTGGTTAGGTGGTTGGAAGTAGTATTTAGCAGTGGCTTAGGGCACAAAATGGAGAGTAGGTGGGTGGGTGGCCTTGGAGAGGGGGACAGGCTGGGGAAATTCCCTAAAAGCCTGTGCATGTTTGATTCCTTCTTCCCTCCACCTGTGGCCACAGCATAGAACACGGAGACGTGCGACAACTGGGCCCAACAGAGACTTCAGCAGGGGATGCTCACAGCTTCTGTGTTTCTGGAGTTTCCAGTTTGTAAGCAACCTGAGCACAAACACAACCTCCTCACTTTTATTTTCAGGTTGGAAGTTTACCCTGCCTTCCTGTTCTTCTTAGCCACCGGTGGAATCTACCACCCAGTAAGTGATGCTACGGTGTAGGTCTGCATGACTGAACTCTGCTCTTGCTCCCACTCCCTGACTTGAGGAGGTTGGGGGGCAGTAGGCCAAGCTTAGCCCCGCTGCAGACAGCAGCACATCACACGTCACAGCTCTGCCCCTTCTGAACATGGAATGGTAGAAGGTCTTGTGCAGGGGAATCACAAATACTTCATAAACTCATTACAGCTTTAGACCCCCTTCCTTCCCCTAAGGGCGCCTTGTTGGACAAACCAAAGCCTTCACAGCCTCCAGTCCATGCACAGGAAGGGTCCCTCCAACCCTACCTGATTTTTCCAAGCCCTGCAGGGTCCTGCTGAGCTTACAGTAGTGCTACTCAGCAGCTGGTTGCGTGGAGGACAGGAACCCTTTCTTCCCCTTCTAAGCACACCTCCATGAAGAGTTTATCTGGTAAGAATAGATGAGGAACATGGTGATCTTGCCACTTACTTCCATCAACAAAGGAGGTGTGTGAAGGATCAGAAAAAGCCTGGGTTATTTTTAAATGAAAGACATAGACAACTCAAGAGGAGGCAGGCATATGGGGGAGACCAAAACTAGTAGCTTTTTCTTTGCCACCAACAGACAAATCAGGTCATTCTTGAATATTCCTTTTCAGAGAGGGAAGGAAGCAGTGTAGGCAGGTCTGGCAAACTGGAGCCAGGTTGCAGCAAGCTCTAAATTAAGAGGCAAGGTGTAAGTCTGTAACACCTGCTGGAGGCAGTGGAGTGGGGCTTGGGGCAACAGCTCCCTCCAAGGTCCTGGCACATGGTCTAGCTCACTAATTGGGCAGTGGTGAAACGAGATTCATCGCCTGCTGCCTGCATGAATTAACCACTTCTTGCTTGGGCAGAGTTGTGCTGCAAAACAGCAAGGCTGTGCAGCACATCATATACTCCTTCCCCATGGGCATCATGAAAGCAACATCTATACAAAACTCACCTGAGCACGCTGCCTCAGTCACCTGCCTCCCCCAGGCTGACTCCCAGTTGACCTGGCAAGGTCAGAACTCACACTGGTGGCTGAAGCAGGGCTGCTATAACTGCTAAGCACATGCAAGCAGCAAGTCTCCAAAACCTTTAACTCTTTTCCTGTTTCTCTAGCGGGCTGCCACAGGACTTGGCATCGCCTGGATCCTTGGGAGAATCCTCTATGCCTATGGCTACTACACAGGAGGTGGGTCTTTACTCTTGTGGCACAGAAGGTGCTCAGAAACTCAGGTCTCCTACAGTGACCTCAAGGCTTTTTCTTCCAGCTCACATCAAGGAGGCAGCATAAAGCTTCCACTCAGGGTGTGGAGAAAAGGGTGCAGGTCCACAGGCTGCTAACTCTGCAGTACACTTTTCCTACGGGTAGGAAGAGCACTAGTCTGATAATAGCACAGACTGAGGGGTAGATACAGAGCCTGAGCCAGCGCCTGCTCTTTTATCTGGAGATTTCTCTCTAGTTCCTGCTCCCTCTTTAATTTTCAGGATGGGTTGGTTAGTCTTTCAGTGAGGGGCTGCAGAACTGACAACACACTTATTTTTTTTGCAGATCCAAAGAACCGAAGGAGAGGGGCCATTGGTTCCATTGCACTCATTGGGCTGGTGGGCACAGGCGTGTGTTCAGCTTGCCAGCACCTTGGCTGGATGTGCCAGGACTAAATCACCATCATGATGGCTGCCTGGAAAACTCCATGGATATTTGTTTTGTTTTCTTTTAGAACACTTAATTTCCTGTTGTTTTGGGTGGTTTTTTTTTCTGTTTTCTCCTCATTTAATAAAATGAAGTTATCAATTCTGTAAATTCTGTATTTTCATTCTAAAGTTATAGAGGGTTTTCTGAAGAAGTTTTGCAGAACGCTGGAATGATTCTGGTTTTGTAAGGACTACAGAAATTTGACAGACAGGCAGAGATGTCCTAGCTTTTACAATTTTAGTGACCAAAAAGCCATCTTGCAACCTATTTAACCCATGCAGCAGCAGCAGCCCTATTTCTGGACCCCTCAATTCATGTCACTCTGCAACAAGATGTTCCAAATGGAGTTAATATTTATTTGATTGCTAAAAAAAAAAAAAAAAAAGAGATGTAGACAAACATTTAAAGTTGTTGCTTCATCATGGTTATAAAAAGCAATATGCCTATGGGAAGGAAGTCAAATAGTTTTCACTTAAGAGAGGCAGCACTCTATGCTGGAGCTTGCTACCACTCTAGCTGTGCTCCATACTGTGTGTGGAGATGATTCTCAGGGCCATGCCTGTCCCAAGCAGCATCAGCTCACCACCCCCACATTATTTTGTCCCACCTTGGAAGTGAGGTACAGATAGAAAAAACCAAAACTTGTGTTTACAAGGGGGTTCAGAAGGAATAAACAATCCTACTCTTAAGGCTTTTATGTAGTGAGAAAATAGTCTATAGCTACAGGATATCAGTGTGTCCAAGAGCTTAGATGTGCATTGAGTAGGGTCATCCCTGTTGACCGAGGGTGGAAGGTAACAGGGTTCAAGGCACACAGCAGGGGAAGCTGGGACTCTGCCATGACAAGGTTCTGGTAACACCTACAGAGCTGCACGTGCTGCTGATGAAAACTATTGCTACCTCCTACTCTGAGGTTCCTGTCCTTCCAGCAGATAGGAGAGAGCAGGCCCACAGGCTGAGCCCTGCGGGGACATTCCCTCTTGCAGGAGCAGGGTGACTAAGTGCTGCTTCAACTACACTCCCCCCAGGCACTTACAATTTTAGAGCACTTTATTGCTGTGTAAATGATCCACATCTCTGGCTGACAGGTGAGAACTGGCTGATGCTCCCTTGAGCAGACCCCAGAGCCACTAAAACACAGATTCCACATCACCCATCTCCACGCAGACAGTCTTCAGCTGCGAGTAGTACTCGATGGCTGCCCGCCCGTTCTCTCTGCCAAATCCTGCAGGGATAAGTCAGAAGTGAGAACACAGCTCCAGGCAGTGCCAGGTACCACTCAGACCCCCTGTAATTGGCACATAGTCATACCAGGGAAGGTCACACAGAGCTCACCTGATGCCTTGTATCCTCCGAAAGGCAGCTCCACAGGGCTGATGTTGTAGTTGTTAATGAAGCACATCCCAGCCTTGAGAGCAGCCACTACCCTGTGAGCCTTCTGGATATCCCTGCAGGAAAAGGGCAGTTCAGCTGGATCCCTTCCACTCATCCTCTCCTCCCTGGCCAGCTAACATCCCGCCAAAGGCCAGCAGGTCACAGTGTCTTTTGGAGCCTGACCTGTCCTACTCTGTCTCTGCCTGCTCAAAGGAGGCAGCATCTGCTCCCAAGGACACTCAAAACTGCATGTGATTTGAGAGGGCAAGACAAGGACGGCAGAAAAGCAGACTACAGCAAGTGGCCAACAGCCGTCTTTGCACACTTTCAGCAGCGTGGCAGGCTCCATATGCACGTCTCCTGGAGATGCAGGAAGGCAGGCAGCAGGCCAAGCACAGGCTGGAAGGAGTCTGAAGGACAGCTGGGCCCACCTAACCCTTCAGGAAAAACTGGGGGGAGATGTGCAGTCATTTATGAAGTTCCCTTTCTTGGCCATCCCTTGCTCCAGCATTTCTGGAAGAAGATATCCATGCCAGGCAACACAGGAGAAGCATCAAGCTGCAGCAGTATTTCCCTCCTCCCTTCCCT